TACGATTACCATGATAATATATTATATATATATAGAGAGAGAGAGAGAGAGATGAGAGAGAGAGGAGAAGAGAGAGATATTGATGCAAGAAAACTATGCCATGGTGCTGCTCGCACGCATTGTTTCTGGTCGCTCTGCTTTTCGCTTCCACTCCACCCTCTATCTACTTCTTCTATCTCTCTCTCTCTCTCTACTTCCTCTCTACTCTCTACTCTTTCTCTCTCTCTTCTCTTCTCTCTCTCTCTCTCTATATATAATATATCATATCATATCAAGACCTATATATATATAACCTATAACATTGAAAAATGTGAAATATGTACGCTGATAGTGAGTCTAGATTCAGGTACATCATTTCACTTGATTATTGTGTGCTATCATATAGTATTATATAATATCAAGAGCTAATAATACCTCTTAGGTATTATTAGCTCTTGATAATATTATATAGTCTCCATGGTTACCGACGCGTTCCGCGTGACGGCAACACTCGCCGTTTCGTTGTGTCTTTACTCATGTTACTTTTATTGTTTTATGAGTAGGAAAATTCATTTAAAAGATCACCTTTTCTATAGGTTAGGTGACTTATATTGTACTGGGAAAATGTTGTTGTTTTCTCCGCTCCGGCATCGTTATCTAAAGTCTAGATAATTTTGTCTAAATTTATTCATTTTACAATATTAATTTGAAGCGAAAATGAATCGTGTTAAAAATCACCAGGAACCCAATCTATTACCCAGCAGATAAGCGCTGTATGCCATATTCGCTATGAGAGGGAAAACTGCCTGCCGCGCATTTCCTTGTCTGCTTGGCGAGACGCCGCTACAGTGTGGCAGGAAAAATGCCGTCGGCTCTCTCTCTCTCTCTCTCTCTCTACCTCTCTCTATCTCTCTACTTATCTCTACTCTCTCTCTCATTACTCTCTGGCCTCGCTCTCTCGCGCTCTGTCTCTCTCGCTTTACTCTCTCTCATCTACTCTCTCCTCTCTACTACTCTCTCTCTCTCCTCTCTCTACGCCTCTCTCGCTACTCTCTCTACTCTCTCTCGCTACTCTCTCTCCTCTCTCGCTCTCTTTCTCTCTCTCTTCTCTTCTTCTCTACTCTCTCTCCTCTCTCTCTCTCTCTCTCTTACACACACACCACAACATTCTCTCTAACTATCTATTTAATCTATTTATCTAATCTATCTATCTAATTCTATTTTATCTAATCCTATTTAATCATATTATAACCTATCTATCTATCTATCTACTCTATCTATACTATCTAATCTATCTAATAACTATATATCTATACTATCATCTATCTATCTATCTATCTATCTATCTCCCTCACGCTCTCTCTCTCTATCTATCTATCTATCTATCTATCTATCTATCTCCCACAATCTCTCTCTCTCTCTATCTATCTATCTATCTATCTATCTCCCTCACTCTCTCTCTCTATCTATCTATATCTATCTATCTATCTATCTATCTAGCTATCTAACTATCTATCTATCTATCTATCTATCTATCTATCTATCTAGCTATCTAACTATCTATCTATCTATCTATCTATCTATCTAGCTAACTATCTATCTATCTATCTATTTATCTATCTATCTATCTATCTGTCTCACACATACACAGTTTCTTCTCTATTTTCCTCCTATTGTCCTCGCTACATCCTCGGCATGCAGGCGTGCGTACAAGAGGAAACCATCATTACAATACTACAACAGCACAGATTCCTTTACCAAATCAAGGAGTGACTTTGATGAGCAATACCCAGGTAGTCCCTCCAGTAGGTAGCTAATAACTGTATATTAATAGCACAGTGAACCCATGATGACGTTCATCTTGTCCTACACACCCCGCGCTAGCACGTGTGACTATATATCGGTCATCGGCGCCGCTGTTTCATTAGCATTAGGGAGCAGTCCCAGGAGTGTCGTCGGATACAGAGCGCGCGCTGCCACCGCCGCCACCGCCGCCACCGCTGCGCCGACAATGGCAGAGCTAATGACGATTTTACCAGCTCGGCACACCACGTAAAAAAACACGAGCCAAATCATCTTTTCGGAGCGCGATGAATATTTAACGGTAAAAAACCGCGAGCGCCGCTTGTTTCGCGCGTTTCGTTCGATATTCATCTTTTGGTTTCCCGGTGGGCAGACGACAGGCACGGCTTCCTGTGTGTATGCGTGTGTACGCGATGGCCACGCGCGTGCGTGCAGGCGATAACAATATACCGCCTTTATATAGCGGCTGAATGACTGTGTTCATCGCGCGTATTCAATCAGCGTGTTTGGTATACATACTATAGTATTAGGTAGGTAGGGTGAGAAACGGGTTGTGAGTGTGTGTGTGTGGGGGGGGGGGGGGGTAGATAGATGGGTGTGTGTGGTGCTGTCTGTGTGTGTGGGGGGGGGGCGTATGATGGTGAGTGTATGGTCTGGTATTTCTGTGGTGTGTGTGGAGAGGGTATAGTCTGACATGTGTGCATGAGCTGTGTGTGGTGCGGTGTATGTGGTGGGATGTGCACATGTGTGTGTGTGTGTGTCTCTATGTGTGTGTGCGTGTGTCTGCGTATGTGTGTGTGTATGCGTGTGTGTGTGTGTGTGTGTGTGTGTGTGTGTGTGTGTGTGTATGTGTGCCTGTGTGTGCGTGTGTGTGTGTGTTTATAAACACCAGACAAGCT